TGTGGGTGGCATTTGAAGGAAAGTGTATGATGGTATGTGGGCCAAATTAGTCTATTTGCTGAATCCTATTTTCAACATGGCTTCGAGTCCTTGTAATTCAAAAGTACCTTTGTAATCTTATTGCTTTGGCCAGTACCGAAAATCTACGCCTCCCTCCTGTGTGCATGACGTTGTCGAAGAGTAGTATGAACTCTGGTAAATTCAAGTAATGCGAAGAAATTTCTCAACTAGAAGTATGCCAGTCGGTGTTGCTAGGAGTTCAATAGATATGTGGTATCTAGTCTATTTGTTGATGCAGCTGGAGTTTTTTTCAACTGTTTAATTTGCAATGAAAAGACTCTGAACTTTAAATTTTCCGAAAGCTTCTCTGGAATAGTAAGCCATTAACTGAAGAAAGGTCAAACACTTAGCCTTAGTCAGTCTCGCGGCGCGACCCCCGTTCGAAACCCTGCATTTAAAAGTGTTTGGTTGCTGGTGTCACCCAATGTGCCAGGTTTTTGCTTTTGCAGAGTATTCTAGGGGCAATACAGCGATCGCGGTGGTTGGAAAATTTCGTTGTTCGGTGAAATTGAGTCCAGTAAACATCCCATTCTGCAAAGTTACGGCACAGCTTACCACTAACCTACCGCGGTATCCCACTTGAAGCAAGTGTAGTCCACTGGTACTAGCTACCGTATTCCTCGAGGCAATGCGGATATTGTGGTACTGCTGTTGAGCGAAAACTCCTCTGTTTGAACCCTCAAGTGGCAAAACGAACCCAACCTGTTATACCATGCTACGCGGCTGTGACCCTTCCACTGTTTTGAGGCCTCATATGTTAAATTTTGATGCAGTCTTGCTGTGCTCTTCATCGAATTCCCCCGATATCATATGTGGCATTTGTATCACAGGAACTTGTCCAAAGACCGCATTGTTCAGGAGCACCAGAAAACTTAGCGAAAAACAAATAGTGCCCTATGCATGTTCTATTATTGGGTGTTGTGTTTTTTTTTCATTTCATAATCAAAATACGCTACAAACTAATAAACTGTTGCCTACAGCTCTCAACCGTTCACTGATAACGGCGTCGCTAGCGATCCATAATTATAATACTTTTGGTGGAAGTTGGTTGGACATAGCTCAAGGCAATATGCGACGCCAAGTTGAAGCCGGTATCAGGGGGTGGGTGATTTTTAATGTTGCAATAGATATATTTTCTGTTAAAGCTCCAACCGTTGTTGATTCTATTTGTTTTTCACATATACAAGTACATATTCATTTGAAATTAAATCGATAAATGTTTTTTTTTGCATTTTCAAAAGTTTACTAACTAATGTTGTGGTATAGAGATCCCAAAAGGTGAAATTTGCCTCAGTCACATTCTTGGGCACTCCTCACCCATGTGAGAGACATTCTGAGACCTCGGTCAGACTCGGCGATTGCGTCGCTGGACACCAGCGACGGAGCCGCCAGCGACGGAGCCGCCAGCGACGGAGCCGCCAGCGACGGAGCCGCCAGCGACGGAGCCGCCAGCGACGGAGCCGCCAGCGACGGAGCCGCCAGCGACGGAGCCGCCAGCGACGGAGCCGCCAGCGACGGAGCCGCCAGCGACGGAGCCGCCAGCGACGGAGCCGCCAGCGACGGAGCCGCCAGCGACGGAGCCGCCAGCGACGGAGCCGCCAGCGACGGAGCCGCCAGCGACGGAGCCGCCAGCGACGGAGCCGCCAGCGACGGAGCCGCCAGCGACGGAGCCGCCAGCGACGGAGCCGCCAGCGACGGAGCCGCCAGCGACGGAGCCCTCGCCGGGCGATGACTCAGCGATATCGATCGTGTGGCTGATGAGTCATCCGCCGTTGCCTCACGTCTTGTGGTGGTCGGTGTCACGTCGCTGGTGGCAGGCATTCCAGGCGCTCGCTGGCGATGCTTCGTCTACTGGCGGCCCGTCGCTGGCGGATCCTGTCGCTGGCTTGATCCTAGAGCGACGCCAAGCGCGAGTACCGTGACCGAGGTCTCTAATGAGGGGGAGTCGGTATGCATGACTGTGATTGATTAAGTGAAAGTAGGACTGCATTGGATGTTGAAGGCCGTGATATCAGGAGGCCTTTGGGACTAATCATATTTACTATTCCATGAAAAAAGTGGAAAGATTAAAGCTTCCTGACGTTTCAGAACGCTTCCAAAAGGATTAAGTTCAATTTGGAGCGGTGTCTTTGCTCGAGATGATCAGCAGGCCTGCCCTCTTGGGCGGTTCCACAGATACTGCCTTTTACAGTGGTTGTAGCCGTTTTCTTTGTGGAAATTGCGATGATTGGAATGAGCACGCAGTTCAGGGCCTTTCTAATTTGTCCACTGAATGCGCCTCAAGCTCGGAGTCGGTCGTCATTGCGGCCCATATCGTAACAAGGTCGTCATCACACAGCTGGGTATACGAATCCGGATCTATCCAGACAAAAATGTGGCTCGCGACATTTGTTGATACAGTTCGTCGTATAGACACTTTGATTGGCGTTAGACCAGAACTGTCGATGGCCTGATTTGTCATTCTTGGTAGAAAATTGATTGTGATCAAGCTATGCGAAAATCAGTAGCATGTCAGCTTTGGTGATTTAAGTTCTTCGTTTGCGATCATTCAAGAACAAACCAATCTATGAGAAGTGTGGACGGGAGGAAACAATGCGGTTGATAATTATGGAGAACAGACTCGGAGCAGTTTCGCGAACAACGCAATGTTGTGTTTCTGTGAAAATTTGTCTTTCAAACTCGTGTGCAAGGCCTGAAGTAACATGGAAGAGTATCTGTTATTCCGCATCATCTAACCTATCTGGTACATTCTATCTTGTTAAATTGGATTTTAATGCATCACTTTTGTCCTTTGATTCCTGTGGAAATTTCATAATTTCAGTTTCATAATTTTTCACTTGAATCCACGTTCATTTCTCACTAAATTCTTACGTGGCGTGAGGTACTTTCGATTGGGTTCATAAAGCCGCAACGAAAATATTAGTAAGTGTTACTCGCCTAACGTTTCGCCTTGCCGAAAGCTTTGATGCAAAAGATAAGTGGGATTAAAGAATAAACATCTAGGTTGCGATTCTACTTAGCTAATTGAAAGTATTCACTCACTTCACTGAACTGAGGGAAGGATGGTAGGTCGAAGTGGCCGTTCGAAATGAAATGTATACCTCCTGATGCGTCTCCAGACGCTGATTCCAAATCTGCCTTCCAAATCTGCTAAACGACTCTCTCCGAACGGAGTTATGAAGCGTAATAGCTCAGTGGTGATGGTCCGGGGTGGCAGGTAAAAGCTCGTAGGATCGGTTCCTTTGCAAGTTTGTTGCTTTGCTTTTGTCCGCAACACTTCTAGAGACAAAAGCAAAGCAACCAATTTGCAAAGGAACCGATCCTACGAGCTTTTACCTGCCACCCCGGACCATCACCACTGAGCTATTACGCTTCATAACTCCGTTCGGAGAGTCGTTTAGCAGATTTGGAATCAGCGTCTAGAGACGCATCAGGAGGTATACATCTCATTTTATACGGCCACTTCGACCTACCATCCTTCCCTTGTGAGTAGAATTGCATGAGGATCAGTGATTTTACCAGATCCATAGTGGTGGGAAAATAGAAGGAATAGGATTTAATCAGTGTTCTCTGTGAAAGCTCATAGATTCAGTGACCATTCGACATGGAAGACCGGCTTTGTTTCCTTGGTTCTCTTGCAAGGGCTCGGAAGCATGTTAGATTTTAAAGCTTGTTCGAACTAGGACGACCCGATTGTGCTCATTCCTCAATTCAGTTAGGGGTAGACCTTATATGGGGAGCTTACATAGCACTACTGAGTTCTGGAATACCAACTATCCCCTAATATGTACTTCCGCGTGATATTTGCCATATAATTTCGATTCTTTCCAAGTTTTTTTTTGGAACTGAGATTTCCAGGAATTACACTTTAATAAATATCGACCAGGAACAGGTCTGCAATAATAGAGTGGTAATGGTATAGGAAAGAACTTGTCCGATATTATGATTGGCATTCTGCATTTTTTCTCAGCAAATATGCAATGAAATTCTTATCATAGATAGCCCTGTGAGGTAAAAATAGTTCCAAATAAAAAATAGTTATTGACAGGTCTAGATTGGCAGGCTAATATTCTCTATCGATTTAGGCATCGTTGTTTTGGATCGGCAGCGATCAACATGATGATGGTTGCACAAGGCGCATGTGATGCGATGGTTGAATACGGCATTCATGCTTGGGATGTGGCAGCAGCAGCGGTGATCATTTCCGAAGCCGGTGGATGTTTAATCGATCCGACAGGTGGGCAAGAATTGATTATTGGCTTAGTTTTTTCTATACCACTTTCGTCACACACAAATGCTGTGTCATATGACAGGTGTTTAAAATGTGACAACCCCCGAAGTACTGAGCCCATGCTCGACGGGGAAAAGTGGGGTTCAGCCATAAGAGTGGCGGAAGAGTATAAGGTGTCAAGTTTGACAAATATTACTTTCTTCTTGGGAACTAGTAACTCCAAGCCTTGAATGTCTGGACGAGCAGTTTTTGTTTTGAAAGATGGGTGTGACGTCAAGAGGTATCAGATTTTATCGAATCGTATGCAGTTTGTGCTGGAATTCCTGCTTAAAAGCTTTTTGTTTCCTGCGGCAATGCTTTACGAGTCGAATTCGTGCATCCCATTCTGCAACTTCTCTATTCCGAACACACTTCATTTGGCGCTGGGGTCTAGCTTCTCCAGTCGTCATCCACCTTGTGAACCCCTTTGTTAGAAATTCATTTTTCTAAATTGAAATCAGCATCTTTCGTACTTGTGGCTTTTCCCATCCTGAACAAGCACTTGTGCCAGCAGTCGGGACTCTCTTGGTTTTGGCAGACAATCAGGTTGACGCGTACCTCAAGAAAAAAAAAAACGAGAGAAAGATGTAAGGAAGAAAAAGGTGGGGAGAAACTGGAGAAATTCTTGTCCATTTACAAGCGCGTCTCTACTCGTCGTCAAGACTTGTGACACGTGTGATGTTTGTTCCGGGGAGCGGTTTAGTTGGTGACAAGATAATAAAATGGTAGCGACTCCGTTATGACTTCGCAAAAGTCTGAAACCATAATTGTTTCTGAGCAGCGATTAGGCATGAATTCCATCACATCAAATCAGCATTAGTGGGAGTGGAATCGCGATAATTGTTTGCCTATAGTGCATTCCCCGCGGTAAACCAGTAAAATCGAATGTCAAACAAATCAAATTGCTTCGATCCAAATTCGGAGGAATTCGGAATGCCAATAGGGTTTGTCATCACTGCTTATCAGGGGTAGTCAGGGGTTGCATACCTTCAGCATTCTTCGTGTCACATCTTGCGTTCAGCATTTGTTGAGCTAATCATAACGGTAAACGTCCCAGCCCACTCTAGGAAACAGTTTGAAACTTCGATATTTGACCCTAGCCATCTAGCGAGCCTATCGCCCTACTAGAAAATGTGTCACATAAGGTCTCTCCACGTCAAATCGTGAATCTTTACGGTTAGAGGTTGGGGAGTGACGGGTGCGTCATTTTTGTTTAGCGGGCTTATCGACACATTGTTTGATGTGAAGGTCTGTCTATATGTCTTTTTTGTGAAGGTGGTGTGGTGGAAAGTGGTGCCAATTCTCACGCGCATGGTACGGGGATCAAATTCGCGTCGCATACTGTCAGGACTAATCGAACCCGCCATAAGTCCGGTCAGTTGGGACTATAAGGACACTGATTGTTATATGGTTTTCCCCAGGCTTGTATACTTCCAAGCATTGAAATGCCGCTATGACTCAGAATAAAAAGAAATGCATAGGCGCATTCTAAAAGGGATTGATCTCGAATACTCTATCTTTTATCCATCATTCTACCTCCAGCCATTGCTCCGAGGATGAGTCCAGCTCACTCTGTCGTTGTGAGAGCCACAATTTTGGAGGTTTTTTTCTTGTGAGGTCCTTGTGATGGTTTAATTCGTAACATGCGAAAATTAACCAGCAATGGATCGATGGATGTGGGTGATGCCCGGATAAGTTCGGTTGGCTGCTGAGTAGGGATTTTTTGTTCTAACATTTGCTCAATGGTGTAGGGGTGCTTAGCAGAATTCGGTGCTACGTGAACGGTTTCTGGAGCCAGTGTTGCTCTGATGATGCTTAAGCCAATATTACTGATGGCTTCCCGTCTGGAAGTACTTTTTGTTGTGCTCGTATAAGTGGATAGTGTTGTGATAACTAGGTGGTCTACTTCTCTTCGTTTCAATCGATAATTATCCTGTACGAATCATTAGTGCGACCCTCTGTAATTTATCGTTGTTTGCTTTTCCTTTTTGAAGTTTCTCCTTTTTATGGGAGCTTCGTGTGAGGTATGGTATGATAATAGGAGAAGGTTATCTTCGCATTGGTTGCCTTGCCACTGATCTTGATCAATTTCTTATAGTCTAAAAGGAGCGCTACACTTTTGCCTTCCCTTTATCGACTGACGACTACTGGTAGACATAGCCGATGAAGCGGGGTTT